ATCACTCCTTCCAACAAGTCTTGTGTTATTCTTATTTTTGCTACTTTTGTCTGTACTCATCAGCATTCAGTTCCTTTATTGCTACTCAGAAATTCAACTTGTTCATGCTTTTTTTAAAGGCATTGGTTCTGAATGTTGTGTGTCTTCCCTAGATGAATGCTATTTCCCTTGGTGTCAAGGCACAGGTGCTGATTCCAGGTGGCATATTCCTGACTCACTGCTGAGGCGACTGGTTGGGATCACACCTTGGAGAACCAGCTCAGAGACCAGCACAGTCCACAAAGATATATTAGATGTACTTGTAAACACCCTGTGGATTAACTTAGATGTTGGCAGTGGAATCGATTTCTTTCTTGCTCTCTGTTTAATGGCACATTATAGATTTTGTGGCTTTTTGGTCATTTGCTCTAAAACCCCTAAGTTTTTAACAAGATGAGTTCTGCAGTTGGTGATGTTTGTGGTCAAGGAGTGCCATGGCCCACACCAGACTAAAAGGCTGGCATGTCATGTCGTGGTAACAAGGAGCAGAGGATGTTGACACAGGAGTTCCCAGACATTTTTATGTTCTTGACTTTTATGTACTGACTTTTGGAGAGGATATTTTTACTTAGTGGCGTTCTTCCATGTTTCTTCTATTGTGGTGCTGTTATTTTGTGGTTTTGCCAGTGCAATTCCCCTGAGAGAAGCTAGTGATCAGGTGGGAGACAAAAGCAATGAGGAAATGTTCTATTTTAATACAGAATTTTGAATGTGGATATGGGCAAAGAATTCAAATGGATTCAAACTCTTGTTTTGAAGTATTTTGACTTTGTCACTTAACATTTAAAACCAGTACACTTAAAGGCATGTAAGTGTAGAAAGGGGAATAATGTTTAAGGATGGTTAAGGTCATAATGTATATATTAACTGAGTATAAATACATTAGCTTATACATGAATACAGAATTTGTGCCAAAAGGCTGCTGAAAGGTGACATTGAAATAAAGCAGCAGATGCTGAGAGGCAAGATCTCTGTGAATGAGAGTGAGAGGAAAATGTGCTTCAGTCTTTGTTCCTGGCTTTGATCTTGGGTTCAAACAATGTTTCCACAGTTTCAGACCAATGTTTGTACCCTTTTAAAAGCAGAGTGTAGTAGAGAGACTGTGACTTTTGGGAAAAATGTGAACATAAAGAGTGAAATAGCATAGAAAGGCACAACATTACTCCCATCTTCCTCTCCCATTTATATCGTGTATCTCATGCCTCTTTGATGTCTGATACTGCTGTGGCAGTAGGGAAACAAAAAAAAAGAAAAAAAGAAGGAAAAAAAAAAAAGAAAAGAAAAAGAAATAGAAAAAAGGCTTAAAACCAGAGGTATAGATCTTTTTAGGAAATAATTCTAAGCACTAAATATGCCTTTACTTTCAAGGGAGACACCATAGCTCATTTTATTAGTGCTCAGCTACCACAGCCCTGTGTATATTTCTATCAAAGTATACTGGTGTTTAATAATGTGGTTTATCTTACTTGAAAATGAGTGGGGAAAATAAAATCTTTGGTGGTCAGCTGGTGGATTGTATGCCTTTAGATATTTCTCTCTCAGGGCTAGAGCAGCACTGCACTGCAGGATGAGCTATGACTTGGAGCTGCCCACAGCCTCAGCATGCTGTCTGCTCTAGTGTGGTCTCCTTCCTGGCCCCAAGCAGAGGGAAGACGCCTGAGGAAAGTCCTCTCCTCTCAGGCCTGAGAGACTGCTGTTACAAAGGCCCTTTCCTTATTCTGAAATCTTCCAGCATCCCCCTGCCCTTTCCCTCTGTCCCACCACACAAATTCCTAGCACATTCGGACATGTTGCAGCACTGGGAATTAGAGCCCTTCTCTCCTTGTTTGTCACTTATCATTTATCAATATGATCTCCAGAGGTTAAAGGTATGTAAAAAAAAAAAAAAAAGTGTTTAGTTTCTCTTTGTTTCTTCTACACAGTCCCTTCTATTTTTTTTTTTTTTTTTAATTTAATGTAATTATTTTAATATGCTTATAGTCAGTCCCACTTTCAGGATGCTTGAGTAGCTTTTTCAAACATACTTAAACACTGGGCTTTTGCTTTGAGAAGGGAGGTCTAATTCTGAATGCAGCTGATGAAATTATCTTAAGTAGATTCACTATTGCTTACCTCCTCAGACTTTGCATCTGCATAAAACAGTCATTACTACAGAGCCATTACTATGGCTACCATAGGTGGCATGGTCTCTATCCTGCAATTAGGCACTCAAAGGGAAGCCCATACTTAGAGCAGTGGTGCCAGCCCCAGCCCTGCACCAGACAAGGCATGTGAGAGCCTTCCCCGAGCTACCTCTGCAGGCAGCCTCATCACCTGCGGCTTCTGGCGTGGCCACTGGGACTCACACAAGCCCAGCTCATTACCTGACCTGATATGTGCAGTGTTAGTGCTGATAGCCATCACCCCTAAGCTTAACCATTAGCCTTTAGACAACCCTTTCACTTTTCTTCCATTCCCCTATTACTTTGCATCTCCCTTGCATTCACAGTTTCTTAATTTCCTTCATGAACCTGTAGCTGGTTACTCTGGAGACTGATAAAAGTTAAAGTAGATTTATCTGAGCAGTGATCTGAGTGTGGTTAAGCTCATTTCTTGTACTAAATGAGCTCTTTAGTTTAGACTCTGCTGCTACAAATGCTCTCTCTGATGTCCCAAATAAAAATAACGAGCTGCTCTCTCGGAGCTGTGAGCTGCCCTCAGGAGCTCATTAGGACACTGGCTCGGTGAGGATCCCCGAGGAACGAAGTTACTTGTCCTTTCGCTTTATGCTTCCCAGTGCTCACACTCCAGGAGGACCCAAAGCCCATTAGCCTCCTAATGCACATCCTGTTTTGCTTATTGCTTTATTAATAGTGGGCTGGGAACGAAGAGCAGATGTTGCCCCAAAATGGCAGCAGTGTTAGGGAAAAGGGGAAGGAAGATAAGCGAACTTATTGCATTTGATGGCATAGTGTTGAGTGGAAAACCTGGTTGAAAATGTGAAATTCTGAAGGAAGGGCAGAGCCATCAACTCACACCACCTTACAGCTGAGATCTTCCCCCCCCTTCATGGGCTGGAACTGATCAGGCTGAAACACCTCATTGGGCATCAGCGGTTCCCTGTACTAACAAAAACATGTGAACCCCCAAATCCATCACAACCATAAAGTGTGATCTTCTGTTGTGTCAGCCCATGCCTTAACCTAACAAAATGGAAACTGTATTATTTTCCAGTTGTAGCCATAAACAACTGGTTTGTAACATCAATTGATTACTGGATGCTTGAGGGAGATTGTGCATTTTAAATTTACTGAGGTGAAACGTTAAAAGCAGAAAATCTGCACAATATCTTATGCATTTATATCTTATTGTGAACTTGGGGACCATTACTGCACCTTCTGTAATCACCCTGTCAAAGCCTCTCCTAGTGAAGACAGTAATATTGATTTCCCTTTCATCACTTGGCGCTGGATGTTCATATCCACTGCAGACTGCAAATGCTCTCTTTGCTCAGCTAACCTATTATTTAAATATTCAGAGCCAAAAGAAAGCAGGTAAGTCTTGCCTTTTGGCAGCTGTAGTTAGCTGGAGTAGCTTCCTAAAACAAACACCTTCATCTTATATGAAGGATCATTTTCTCTCTTGATATGTTTGCTGCTGCAGAAAGAACTGAAGCTGTACTCGCTTGCAGGCTGTTTGCAGCAGCTGTGAAGGCTGGAAATGCTTCCTAACCCTTATATTTTTCCATGGGGTTGGATAACACTTTTCCAATATCTACAGCTGTTCTGTGATCTCACAAAAAGTATTGTTTGTATACAGTAATGGCTGGGAATCCTGGCTGTAGAACAAGATCCCAAAGCTGAGGTGTAAATACATATCCAGAAGGCTTACAAGCTAGTTACTGGTTCATATACTAGTTAAATATGACTGAGATACTGAAGTCTAAGAGATTACTGACAGCTGAATAGGTTACTACCAGCTGCCTACCAGCTGGATTACTTGTCTCTTCTCAGGGATGGCTCAGTGAGCCATCAGAGATGGCTGAGACTGAAGCAAGAGCTCGTTCCTATTGAACTGGGCTATCCTTTCTTCCTCTTTTCCCATCCTTCCCTCTCTCCCCACTGAACTGAACAACCCCACTAAACAACTACTGAACTCGAGGCACCTCACCAACAGGAGAAACGTGGCAAAAGCTTGGGAAGAAAAGGTAGTGCTTTGGCTGTGTTGAGTTTGACCTGGCTGAGTCAAAGAGATGTCAAGCATAAATTTAAAATAGAGGATGGTATCTTATGATCTTATTGATCAAGATTATACATAAGCAACCAAATGTAGTGACTAAAAGTCAGTGACTGAATCTCAGACATTCCCTTTTTTGATGAAGGGGACCCAAATCCAAACTAAATCCTCCAGCCTGCCAGCAAAGCACTGGATATGATCTATTCAGAAACGCATAGGATAGTATATTATTTTGGTGCATTCTTTAGTTATTAGTTTACGGTAAAGCTTAGGTCAAAAAGAGGAATGCCTTGTCAGGTCACTCTCTGTCAGTCCACAACAAATGTTAACGATTTGCAGGACTGTCTAGAAGGACTTCAAAAACAGAGAGAGCTGGGGGAAAATAAAGCAGTGTGATTCAAGATATCATGCCAACTGAGAGAAGGGGGTGCAAACGAACACTCCAAACTCCCATTTTTCCAGGTTGTGTGTGTGTTTCCCACTTTAGGACGTGGCTTTGGTTGGAGACAAGCCCCTGCACAGAACGGACCTCCAGGCCACCTGGTTTTCTGTTTTCCCTAAAGCATGCCTTTGTCGTTTCTTCTCACTTTCCAACAGATGCTGCACTTGAGGTATCACCTCCCGAGCCTTTCATCGCCTTGCCCACAGCACGGTGCAGCGGGGCACCCCCGGGGGCTGCCAGAGGCACCCGCGCCCCGCCGGCTTCGCGGGGACAAGCACCAAGTTGCGGCCCCCGGCGGCTCCAGAGGAGAGGCGCCCGGGGGGGCTCTGCAAACTCCTGCAACTCCTCCAGCCCCAGCCCCAGCTCCAGCCCCGTCTCGGGCAAGCCCCGAGCCGCTGATCCGCTCTCCCCAGCCGGGCCGCGGCCGCGCCTGCGCTGCCCGGGGAAGGCGGGGGGGGACCGGGGAAGCCCGGCGGGAGGTGACAGCCGCCGAGGGGGCGCAGGGCCCGGCTGGCTGCCGGCTCGGCCCCGGGCTGCGCCGCAGGCACGGTGAGTAAAGCCCCGTCTTCCCCCTCCGCGACTGCCGGGGAAGGGACCCCCACGGGGGAGGGACCCACCCCGGACGGGGAACCCCCCCGCGGTGAGGAAACCCCCGGGGTCCACGTCCCCGTCCTTGTCCCCATCCCTGCCCGGTGCCCCGATGCGGCTGGGGGGGGGGGGGAGGGGGCGTCTCGTCGCCGGGGCTGCCGCTGCCTCCGCCGCCCGCCCTCCCCTCGGCTGCACCGAGCTGCTGCGGGGAGACAAAAGCGGACAAAGGAGGCAGGCAGAAGGCGCGTTGCACGGCACGGCACGGCACGGCACGGCACAGCACAGCACGGCGCCGGGCGCTGCCGTGTGTCGGGGGACCCCCTGCGAGCCGTGCCGGCGGGGCACGTTGGGGCTGCCTGCCCCGGCCCCGCTGCCGCCCGGGCTTTGTTCCCCCGCCGTCCTCCCGATTTATGCCGGCGCCGTTATTTTTAGCCCCGAGGAGGAGAAGCTTGGCGCGGCCACCTCTGCCCCGAGGGGCGGCGGGGGAAGGAGGGAGGGAGGGAGCGGGGCGGGCGCGTTGGGACGGGCGCCGCTGACCTCCCCGCTCTCCGTCCCGCAGGTCGGCGGCCGCCCCCCCCTCCCCCGGAGCTGTGTCACCGGCGGCGAGGAGCGAGGATGAGGGCTGCGGAGCGGCGCTGGGGGGCGGCAGCCGCCGGCAGCGGGGGCTCCCCGGCGGGCCCGCGGCCCCTCGAGCGACGCGGCGGCAGGACGGAGCCGCAGGAGCCTCCGGCATCGGACACGTGCGGCGGGGCGGCCGGCGGCCGCGGCTAGGGCCACCCCCGTCCCCTCCCTCCTCCTCCTCCTCCTCCTTCTTCTCCTCCTCCTCCTCCCTCCGCGCTATGCTGCACGCCCGCCGGGCCCCTCAGCGCGCCGGGCGCACGGCGCCGATGGAGCCGAGCGGGCCGCTCTGAGGCCGCCGCCGGTCGCAGCATGGCCTCGGCGGGCAGCCCGGCGCCGCGGAGCCCCGGGGCGGAGCGGCCGGAGGCGGGTGCGCGGTGCCGCAGCCTGCCCGTGCTCGGCTCCCCCCTGGCGGCCGGGGGCGGCGGCGGCGGCGGCGGCGGCGGAGTCCCCCCGGGCCACGCCGTCTCGGCGGCTCCTGCTCAGGACGAGGGAGCCGGGGCTGCCCGGCCCCCGGCAGCCGCCGCCGTCGGGAGCCTGCCCCGCAGGACGGAGGTGCCGAGCCGGGGGGTGCCCCCCGGAGCGCCCCCTCCGCCGGCGCTGCTGCTGGCGGGGCCGCCGGGCAGAGCGTGCCTGCGGGCGGTGCTGGCGGACTCGCGGTTCTTCTTGGTGTGCATGTGCTTCCTGACCTTCATCCAGTCCCTCATGGTGTCCGGCTACCTGAGCAGCGTCATCACCACCATCGAGCGGAGATACAGCCTGAAGAGCTCGGAGTCGGGGCTGCTGGTCAGCTGCTTCGACATCGGGAGCCTGGTGGTGGTGGTGTTCATCAGCTACTTCGGGGGGCGCGGGCGGAGGCCGCTCTGGCTGGCCGTAGGGGGGTTCTTCATCGCGCTGGGGGCCGCGCTCTTCTCCCTACCTCACTTCATCTCCCCGCCGTACCAGATCCAGGAACTGAACTCCTCCGTCAGTAACGAGGGCTTGTGCGTGACCGGCAATGGCACCGCCAAAGAGCAGTGGGACTCGCCGGCCTGCGTCAAGGACTCCGGTGGCAATGATCACTCCCTCTATGTAGCTTTATTCATTTGTGCCCAAATCCTCATTGGCATGGGCTCGACACCCATCTATACTTTGGGACCAACCTACTTGGATGACAATGTCAAGAAAGAAAACGCCTCGCTTTACCTAGGTAAGGCATCCGTGCTGAAAGGCTGAACCCCAGGTCTCTGAGGCGCCGTACCTTCTGAACAGCACCCGTGCTAAGTTTTCCTTCTAAAGTAAACTTTTGAGTTAAAATCACCCTGCTTTCCTACTTTAAAATGTTTCTTCCCCCCCTTTCTTGTGGGATGGTGAACAGCAGTAACAGGTGAAGCCAAGGCAGCGTATGTAAAAGTGGCTGCACTCACACCCTGCTGCATGCGTAGCAGGACATCAGAGAAGGTCGTCCTCTCTAAGGCTTTTCAGCACTTGACTTGAGCAGGTGACTTCTTCGGCAAGCAGCGTTAAAGTTAGCCGTTCCCCTTCAAAGATTTCTTTTTGCTAATACAGAAGCAATATATTTCCAAATTTCCGTCAGCCTGCCTTTAGCCTAGACTATCTATAATGTTAATGTTTTATTAGTACTTTGACAGATTTTTACATGTTTTGTTTTACTTTTCCAGAATTTAACTTGCACTGAATTTTGGCAGCAAATCATTTGGGAACTCAGAATGAGTTAAAAAAAACACACAACAACTTTGATAAAACAGCAAATGAAAACCTTCAGGGTTAAGAGCTCAGTTAGGGGAGCTCAAAGAACACCACAAAACCACAGTTTCATATACCGTTAATATATCTAGCACCTGGCTTTTGGCAGGTACAAATAGTCTTCTTGACAGTCGTCCTATGATGAGAGAGAAGAGTTTCTTGAGTAACTGGGTGCTAAACTTTTTTGGAGTTTGGAGATCACCACAATTTTTTGATAGCATGTGTAATGTGAGGGAAGATTGTTCTCTGACTTCTCTTAGTATCCTACATGATTCTGTGAGAAATGAATCTCACTCCTTCAAATAAGTTTCAAATAAAGGGAGGCACTTATGGTGCTGGGAGAGCTGTGAAATGGTTGTGGATGCTCAGCACTCCCATTTTCGGTTTAATTTGCTACATCGTTACGATAACCTTGGAGATAATCATTCCGTGTAAAATAGACTGTCACAAAAGGAATACACACAGCATGTCTGTAATTACTTTGTTAAGCAGAAGTAATGGTCTGGATCTGTGTTTTTTATTCCTTTTGACCTGTTCTTCAGCAATTTGGCTGCTCCCTGAACCATTTTAAAGCCAGTTCTAAGCGCAGTGTCGTGAGAAAGCCTTGGGCATTGTTAGGCTTTAGAAGGAAAGATGGGGATTCTCTGTGGTTTTTCTCCTGTTTTCACAACATTGCTGATGTGAATTATTTGATAAAGCATTTTCCCTCTCTCCCCACCCGCTGAGAAAGGTTAACTGGTATGGAAATTTCTATTAACCTGGAATCAGCTCTGTTGGCGGTGCAGAAAAGCAAAGAATCTTCTTGTTGAGATTCCTAACTGTATTTTGGAGCAGTAGAGAGGGGTCTGAAACTTTCTCCAGTAGATGATTTCATACAGTCCTCAGAAACAAGGAAGAAAAAGGAGGACTAGTTGCAGGCAAGACATGAAGGGCAAAAAAGAGGAACGGTGTGAGAGATGGAAAAAAGCTCTTGCCCAAGGGGGAAGCAAGGTCAGCGTTTGTTTGGAAGTCCTTACTGCAGGAGAAGCTATGCTTGCCATGAAAGTACTCCTACTGCAGGAAATCGTAACAAAGTGACTCAGATAACTTAATTACTGCAAAGATCAGCCTTAAAGTTAACAAAGGTAAAGGACACCAGCAGCTGTTGGAAGACTGTGTGTGACCCTGGAGCTCACACTGAATTCACTTTGATCTATAGTGGGAATACCCTCGTAGATTTGATGTTCGTATGTAGCGATTCAGAGCAGTGAAGATGAGATACCATCTGAGGAGTAAATGCAAATTTTATGCCAGCCATCTGATAGTATCCACAGGGAAAAGAATTACAATGAACACAAAGCACATTTTGAAAACAGAGTAAGATATATCATCGCTTTCTGTCAATTTTTGAGCTACAAGCAATGTTGCTTGCCACTGGAAATTGAGGTGTTATGTTTTTAAACAATGTGAGATTTTGAGAAACCTTCACTAGTTCAGGTTTGAATATTTACCTCTACCTTAGGCTTAAGTCAAAGACTTTTTGAGGGGCAGGAGTATAATCTGAGTTCTGTGGAAAGAAATAAAAAGAGCATTGTGTGACATGTTGATGTGAGCAAACCTGGATTTTGGAGCTCCTCCGAGGTCTGGAATGTCTCATGTCCAGCCGGGCACAGGGATGGGATACAGGTGGTAAGGGCATGGCTTGTCGGGCCAGCCAGTACACATCCTGCATTGTGCAATGCTCATTTCTCAAGGCAGTGTGGTTTTTTTACATGGGCAAGTTATGCAAATGGTGTCAAAATGTAAAATGCATGTGTGCATGTAGCTGTGAGCTAACAAAAAAATCTTGGACTGGGCTGTTCAGAGGTTTTTGAAAAGAAAAGAAAGCCTGGTGAAACAGATCCCATCGATACAAGAACACATCTCAGTGAAGATGAGTTAATTTCAAAATAGAAGTATCCTCTAACACAGAGTGGAAAGTCCCTACTGTGTTTGTAATCAAGTTGGTGTTGCATGCTGTGTTTTCTTTGTAGGAGAAGTAACATCAATATGTGTTCAAATGGGAAAAGTTTGTTTAGAAGTGTGTATGTTGTAAAAGCTCCATGGAGCTGCACAACTCAGCTCTTCAGCTCAAGTTTGCCCACTAATTGTAGGGTGCTAAAGCCCCCTCGGTATCACTAATCCTGATTCTGCAAAAACTCACCTTATGCGGCTGTGGAAGCTATTTTATTTATTTTCCGAGTTAATCCAGCTCAGGGCTCGAGTGGCAATAGCATATCCTCTTAAGTGTAGGCATGCAAGCTCAATGTGGACAGCTGTTTTAACATTCCTGGCTGGAAGTCCTGCTCTCAGAAAAAACATATTTGATGCTTATACATAGTCTCTTGGCTGCCTACACATAAGTCCATCTGTCGGGGTGGCACTGCGCCAGTTTACAAGGTGGTATGTCATTTTTAGTAGGACAAAGGTGCCAAGCAGGGATGTGTGTTTGGGCCGCCTGCATAGCAATGTGCAAGCTCACCCTTCTGTGGGATGTTTCTTCCTTGTGAAGGCAGAGTTTAGGGTCCTCCTGCCCCCCGGCCCCGGCGGTGCTTTGATGCCGCAACGCTGACTTTGAGAAAATGCATGACATCAGACTTGGGAACAAGTCAGGATTGTAACAGGTGCCTAGGAAATACAAGAACTGGCTCCGTTAATCGCAGATAATCCAAAAGGGAAGTTACACGCTTTCTGTAAAAACTGGGCAATTGCTAAGTTGTCTTTGTCTGCTTCTGAAGTCTCTCCCTTCTGTGCTTGGCCATAAGGTGTGCAGGTAATTACATCAGGGTGAAAACCCTTCCATTTCATTTGGAATCGGGTTGGACTTCCCAAGTCTGTTTTTGTACTCCTGATGGTGTTTCTGCTACCAATCAAATTCTAAAACTTAACTTAGACATGGTGTGTTTTTGTAGAGATCCAGAAGTCTGTCTCGACTATGAGTTTACTTTGTGTTTGTGTCATGAATTATAGGAGCTGTTTCTGAAATTAGCTGTAGGACTTGGAAAATGAAGGTTTATTAGCAGCGTTATAGTGCCTGAATAATTTCTAAATACTTTTGTGTATTTTGCAAGTGGATGTTTTAATAACAAAGGAATTTCCTTTGAAAATTCATGCATAAGACAGCATTAGTTTTACAGAAATACTGTGTTAATGAGAACATTTCGGCATTCAGGAATATTTTACTTTCACCAGTACCCCGGAAAAGACTTGTGGATGAATTAATTGTTGTGCTAGGGATGATTTATTCTCACATTCCAGCATGCTATAGGCTGGTGGTGATGGGATATTAGAAAATGGCCTAAGGAAGTTTAATTTAAGGCAGGCTTTCTGTAGCTTTGGGAACAAACAGTAATTACAAAATGCAAAGATAAAGCTTTTATGGGAGAATAGCAGAAAAATTGGATAAATGTGTGTAAATAGGGTTGGTACAGATAATGGCATAGGAGCCAGGGGAGTAAAATCCTTTCCTAACGTGGAAGAAGAATAAATATTTAGACTGGTTTCCAAAATATTTGGACTCCGGCTTTGTTTTCAGGAGGATCATTTGCGGGCTGCTATTTCTAACATGAGCAAAAGGGCATCAAAGCTGTAACTGGCAAAAATGCTCACAAGCGTTTTTCACTGCTTGCTCTATTTCCTATTTAAATGAGCAGTGTGCTCAGGTTATTCCTCAAATACGGGATTGGTTTGTCTGAGTGAAAGCTACTCCTCCGTTTATCCATGGGCTAACACAAAGAGCTGGCCCACCAGCAGCCCTTTGTATGGATGTGGGCTTGCTTGCTTCATGCAGCAGCTGGGCAGAGCTGGCTGCAGCCCGAGAGCACTGTGCTCTGGGCTGGCCTTAGCATCTTGTGATGCAGGTGAAGCAGCTGCAGGTCTCTTTGTGCATATGGATTATGTTGTACTGTGCTTCTTGGGCATTCCTGTAACCTCTTTTATGTCAAAATGCTGATCAGGCAGCAGGCGTTGTTCCTAATGATTATTTAAAGTGCCATTGTGCAGTTTTATTGCCCTATTCTACAGCTAAGGGAATGGCAATAGAAAGGCAAATTCTACTTTTCTGCTTTAGTCTCCTGCTCCCAGGTGGACTGCTACATTTTTTTCATAGTGTAATCCTCGATATCATTTTTTTACAGGCATTGAGAGGAGGGGTTGAGAGCACTGTGTGCATATAATAAGTTCAGTGAAGGGTGGGTGCAGCCCACTCCTCTGAAGTTTTCTGCCTGCAGAGTTTGATGGTGAGAGTGGTACACCTTCACTTGCATGGTCAGGATCGTGTCCCTAAGGGGTGCTTACTGCATCTCCCCCCTCACGTCCCTGCCATTAGCCATGTCATCCTTCACAAGCAGCTCTATTGACAAGGTGTCACTGGCAGTAACTGGCAAAATGAGGTTTGCCCTTTTTAGGAGCAAGAAGAGGCTTTTA